GGAAGAACTTGCCTTTTTGGAATTTACAGTCTCGGCTTTTAGGAAAGGTTTTTACATTTGTCTGTGGATATCCAGGGCTCATGTATGAGATTACTAACCAGCATTACTGAATAATCAGATGAGGGACAGTATGCTCTGTTTACTAGGTGGCACTTGTGCCTTTTTTTTTTTGAAGATTATTCCAGTGGATTTGTCCGTCACAGTTTTAATTTGGGGCTGTCTTGCGGGATTAGGGCAGAGTCTGTGTGGCTGGTTCTGGGTTGTTGGAAGGCCCTCCTTATCCTCCTCTGGTCCTGATCCCTAACCCTGACCTTAGCCTTCCTCGTTGCTCACTTCACCTCTCTTAGACTTGCATCTAGAATTCCAGGCTCTCTCGTTTTCCCGCTCCCCAGGAAGAGTACAGAAACTCCATGCCTGCATCCAGTTTTCAGCAGCAGAAGCTGCGTGTCTGCGAGGTCTGCTCAGCCTACCTCGGTCTCCATGACAACGACCGGCGTCTCGCAGACCACTTTGGGGGCAAGTTGCATTTGGGGTTCATTCAGATCCGAGAGAAGCTGGATCAACTGAGGGTAAGACCATGTGCCAAGTTCCCATCTCTAATAATCCTCTAATCCTCCAGTCTCATGTGAAAAACTCAGGTCTCACTCCTAGTCTCAGAATTCCAAGGGCGGCTGTGGAGTTGGGCTCTGTCTGCACCTCCTTGATGGCAAAAGAAAGTGGGGCTTGGACAGCAGACTGAATGAACAATGAAATGACATGCTTGTATCCCTTCCCTTTGGCCCCCTCAGGTCCCTCGTCTCTTAGGATGAGGAAGGACCTGTTTTTCTCATGGTCCTGCACGCCTCCCCAACTTTCAGTCCTAGACCGTCGGTGTTTCCACATTTTCCTGGGTTGTTTAGAAGAACTGCCTCCTAGAATTTACTAGATTGAATTCAAGGCCTGGCAGTTCAAACTCATGAGCCACTCCTTGGAACTGACTGCACGGCACTTAATGACGACAGTCTTTATATGGGAGCCCTGGCGGCATAGTGGGCTGGGTTGGATTGTAAACAGCAGAGTCAGTGGTTTGAATCCACCAGTTTGCTCCATGGGAGAAAGGTTAAGCTTTCTGCTCTTATAAAGACGTACAGCTTCAGAAATGCTATACAGTTGTCTGTGAGTCAGAACTGAATAGACAAACCCACAGCAACAACCTCACACGTGTCCTCCCTCCCAAGAAGCTGCTAGTGGTTCTGAACCACTGACCTTACAGTAGCTAAACTTGCTCCACCAGGGCTCCTGGGTTAGGCTCTCAACATTGGAAATCCTTTGTATGGAGTAAGACTATGCGAGTTTCAGATACAGATCGACCTTAATGGAACCGTTCATACGCTGGCATGTTGGGAAGCATGTAGGCTTTCTGACATATGGATAGACACACAGACGATAGAATACGTGACAAGCGAGCCCACGACCCCTGTGTACTCCAGAGTGGGCAGCTCCATCAGCAGATAGGGCTGGACCAGGAGGAGTTGAGATGGGGCGTTTTGATGTGGGTATTGTTCCCTGTAAGTTTCTCATGTATAAGGTAACTAACTTGTTCAGAAGTCAATACAATATCAACATCATAACTTGGTGTCCACGGTCCTCCCCATTAAGCAGTTGGAGCATTTATGCTCTTTTCAATCACAGTTTTTTTCACATCGCCTCACGATTTTACCCTAATGATCTTTTTATAGTAGAAAATCTTTTCATGTTTTTCTTTATTCATTTGTTGCAATTCTTTACTGTAACCTTAGAAACCCAGCGTCACGTGAGCGTAGGTTAAGTCGTTTAGCGTTGGCGTCAATTTTGAGTCGTAATGAGAAGGTTGAAGTAGCAGGAAACCTCATTGGAGAAGGGGACTCGGCACATCTGTTATGCCCAGGGGTGTTTGTGCTTCAGAGCACCACCTGACCTGACAGAGCTGCAGGTTGGGCACCGTCAGGTCTTCCTGTCAGGTGTGAGAGAAGGAGCATTTCTTACGGGCGCAGCGTTCAGAAAAGCTGGGTCTCCTGGGGACTTTCTGAATGCGAGTATATACGCTGAACTACTTGTGTTCCCAAGTCGGGAAGTACAGGTTGAGGTTGGTGGTGGAGGGAGGGAGAGGTTTCGAGAAGGAGAAAGATGCTCTGTACACACGTCGTTCAAGGTCATCCTCGTCTCCATAGGCCCTAACCCTAACCCTACTGTACTCCCCTGGGAGCAGAGGGAGGTCACTAAAGTGCTGTGCACACTTCCCCCTTTTCATTCCTCCTGAGGATGCCGGTTGCTCCCAGAACTTTTGAAAATGGTGCTTTTTTGGGTTCATGGAAGCGGAGTCTGAGGCACACTTGTTACATTTGAGCAAGTTCCTATGGAGTCTCCTTTGAGTGAAAAGCTGACTTTCTGGGCTGGTTTAAAACCGTGTGACAAGTCCCTTGAGGCCTCTGGGAATTTATAAAGTGTGGTAATGAAGCATCTCTGCCTTCACGTTCATTAAGAAGCTTTAAACATGAACCATCACCCTGTTTTCTATGAGCTTCTCCTCTGGTTTTAAATGAACATTAAATACTGTCATGCCTTCTCACAGCTGAGAAAAGTCGTTTTCTCAATTGTTCATTTGTTTAGAAAACAGTGGCTGAAAAGCAGGAGAAGAGAAACCAGGATCGCTTGAGGAGGAGAGAGGAACGCGAGCGAGAGGAGAGATTAAGCAGGCGGTGAGTGCTGACGGGAAGGGCCTCTGGACAACCCCCCCCCCCTGGAATCCTGTAGCTGCTGGTGTTGGTGTTGATTCAGCGACCCCAAGAGCAGCTGGTGGGCTTGAACTGCTGACCTGGCAGTTACCAGTCCAGTGCTTGTCCTACAGCACCACGGCAGAGCTTGAAGAGCTCAAAAAGGGGAAAGCATCAGCCATCAGGTGGATTCCAACACATGTGGGCCCCGTGTGTGTGTGTGTGTGTGTGTGTGTGTGTGTGTGTGTGTGTGTGTCGGGAGTAGAACTGTGGCTGCAGGTCACCAGGCCTTTCCTCCAAGGCTCCTCTGGGAGGGCTGACCACACGTGCCACCCAGTGACTCCTGTAAATGCCTTAATGTCCATTAAAAAACAAACAACCTGGTGTGTTTGGTAGCATTGGGCTGGGCAGAGCACATGCCGCTTCATGCTGGGTCTTAAACCATGTCTCAAAAGCTGTGGGCCACCGAAGGAAGGAGAGGCTGGTGAAGCTACAAGGGGCTCCCAGGGTCACTCCCACTGTGCTGGTCCCATCTGCTCAAAGACATGTTCAGATCCTGAGGAATGGGTGTCTCTGGGAAGTTGTTCATCTTTTATTTCCTTTTCAGGTCTGGATCAAGGACCCGAGATCGCAGAAGGTAGGTTTCCAGTCTTGGGCATTTTCCTCACAACAGAATCTGTGTGTCCTAAACAGGTATGATCTGGCAGGCAGGACATGGAGGGTGGTCCATGAAAGCTAGGAGAGGCCTGAGGTTTGGGCTTCGTGGGGTGGTGGTGGAATGGGCCTGCCAGGTAAAGACTGGAAGTATTCTGAACCGAGGTTATAGATTTGGGGAAAGCCTGACCAGGCTCCTGGCGGGGCCCTAGGTGTGGCAGGCCTGCACGGTGCAACTGCCTTTTGGCCTTCTCCACCAGGTCGCGCTCTCGAGACCGCCGTCGAAGGCGGTCGAGGTCTGCCTCCCGTGAGCGCCGAAAGTCATCCCGGTCCCGGTCCCGAGACAGACACCGCCGCCACCGGAGCCGCTCCCGAAGTCACAGCCGGCGTCGCACCTCCAGGGACCGAAGTTCTAGACACAAGTAACTACTTGTCCTGCCAGGAGTGATCCCTTCTGTGCTGGGGCTGGATGGGCACAGGCAGGGGACAGAGGATGGCCCTACGGGTGGACGGGCACAGGCTGGGGACAGAAGGCCCATTAAGAGAAGACTCTCACACACACTGTCTGCTGAGACGCACCACCACTGAGATCCCACTGCGGGTGTTTCTGTATGCCCAGTTGTGGCCTCTCTTTAATTGTATGTTTAATGAGGTACACGGCACTTCCTGCACACAGTCAGCTCTTCTGCGTTGAAGGCTCTGCTGACGTCACTTTTCAGTGAGTCTGCAGGCGCTTTGCCTTCACTGAGCCTGGACCTCTGCTCTCTTCCTTCTCTGCCCCTCAGGTTCTCCAGAGAGGGAGCAGCCAGAGAGGAGTCCTGGGAACGAGGGCGGAGCGAGAGAGGTGGAGCAGACTGGAGGCTGGAGGGCTCCAATGGGAAGGCTGTGTCTCGGAGGTCAGAGGAGAAGGAGGCCGGCGAGATCTGAACTGCCCGGCTGGCTCACTGTACATAGTTTAATGAACGTTCAGCAGCCTAACGCCGCCCTTTGTACTTGCGGCTACCACTCACCTTTTGTAGTTTAGACTTTGTATTGTTCTGGAGCTAGCTAGCTGTGACTTTCAAGAGATGTACAGAGCTGCTTCTGTGTCTGGCTTGATGTTGAGTAGGAATAAACGAACCCGACAGCTGCCTTCAGCCCACCTGCCCACAGGGGGCTTCTCAGCTCTTCTCTCGGCGCCCTTGTGCACCACAGTCAGAAACTCGGACTCACTGCATCTCTTGTCAGCACCAGACACATAGCCCACTTGTTCCCTCTCCCCCACCTTAATGATGAGAGCAGGTGTGTGTATGTCTGCTGCTTACTGCCCCCTGAGGGCCTGAGCCCCCCACCTCTCCCCTCAGGTGCTGATGGGCGGCCGGGTCTGCTGCTCCGCACGCCCACACAGGGCAGCGCTTCCAAGAAGCTTTTTTTCTTTCTCTACTTTTCTGGAGTATTGTTTCGTTGTGGAGGGAGGGCCCTGAGTTTCCATTGATGACATTGTGAAAACTCCATTCCTCTACTACTCTTTGCAGAGTTGGGGGTGCTGGTGTGATAGGACACAGGAGGTCATCGTGGTGTGGGTTTACTGTGGACAATTTTCCTGCTTCAGAACACCCCCCGCTGCTCCCCCCACGGATCCTGAGCAGATCTGGTCTCTCCAGAAAGTGATGGCCGTGAAGGGGGCGGGCCTTGGACTGAAGTAGTTTGTGGTCCACTTTGTGTTTTGCCTGCATCTAGCAAGTTGGTTTTCACGATACACATGCTGCCTTCACTCATCCGTGGGCTCTGTGCTTCGGTGTCTGTTCACTAGTGTCCTGTGGGGGTGTGGGAGCACCACCCTTCACCCATCAGGATACCGCTGCTGAGGACTTGGGGCACTTTGTCAGCTTGTAGATTCATGCTTGTGGACAAATAGTGGTGGGGGGGTTGGTGCTGCGTTTCTTTTGCTTTAATGGGTTACGAAGGTGTGTCTCCCTGACCTTGGCCCCCAGGGAGGAAAGTATTGGCCAAAGAAAACCCATGTGCAGCCCCTCAGCATGTGTTCCTTCCCTTCTCTGCTCCCAAATGTGCCACCTGCACCAGGGGGGCCTATAGGGATCTCTGATGATCAATCGGTATGGAGGCCTGGCTGAGCCCCTGTCGGTGTCAGCAGAAGCCCCCACAGAAGCAAAGGGCCCCCCCCCGCCCATGAAGGTAATTGCTCTGGTCAACCGACATGCACTTTTTTTTTTTTAAACTCACAGGTGCTCCCAGGGAGTGGGTGTGTCATGGAGGTTCCTGAGTGGGTGGGTGGTAGGTGGATTCCTGCCTACCCCAACTTACGGACTATAGGTATAGCACTGTAGGATAAGCACTGGACTGAGAACCACAAGGTCGGTAGTTCAAACCCCCCAGCTGCTGCTCGGAACCCTATACAGGTCTAGGAGTCAGAACTGACTTGATGGCAATTAACAGAGAAACGAGGCCCCACAGAGAACTGCAAACAGGACACCAGCCAGTGGGTTCCCTGCATTGGTTGGACTTGGGGCTTAGGAGAGATGGGCACGGAAGCCTCACAGCTCCTGGAGAACCCCATGACCACCTCTGGGCAGCTAAGATTCCCCAGAGGACAGAAGCTCTGCCCAGTTGGCCTTCCCCGAGCTTTATCAACAAGGCCAGCCAGCATGTGTCCACAGGGATGATGTCAGCTGCTGAGCCAGACGGAGGTCAGGGAGATGTATCACAGGCAAGACACCCTGGCAGGTTGAAGGGGACGACAAGTACAGGGCTGCCCCATAGGGTGCAGGGACAGGCTTGGAGGACCCTGGTATGACTGCAGAATGGGCATTGGCCCAGGCTCGGCAGAACCAGCAGTCGCACCTGTGTTCCCTGAAGACACTGCTGAGACCAGCTTGCATCTGTTTTTCATTCCCCTTGGCTTTTTGGCAAGATCACAAATGTATAATGGCCTAGGGTGCACTGAGCCGTCTTGTATTGGTTTGTCTGACTAAAGGGAGTGGAGAGATTGTGGTAGAAACATTAATGTTTGGGTCTGCACCATGTGGCAAATATCAACTGTGCCTCTTAATAATTAACAACCTTTTTGCCCCCTGCTGGTACAGTCTAATCTTTTTCCTAGTGTCTCCTGTTTTTGAGGGAGGGGGGAGGGAACACCAGAAAGTTGTTTAAGTGGAGTTGTTACTTCTTGTATTGTCAACTGTTGATTTTAAGAGGAAAAATAGAGGAAAGAGGCACTTAAACAGCTGTCCTCCACCAGGGTCCAGCAAGGAGGGGCTTTCACCCTATACCTCTCACCTGCCAGGTCCCCAATACCAGAGAAGGCAGCAGTATAGTGTGCGTGGGGGTGGGGTCCCACAGCCCAACCAGCAGGAGTCGCTGTCACCTTGTAGTCCCAGGCTCCCAGCAGCTTAGACACAGTTGAGGGAGCCCATTATTCCCTACTTCCCACCATCTGCCCAAAGTTGCAACTAAGAAAACGAGACAATGGTGCTTCAAGATAGCAGTTCAAATCATCTATCTCCTGGCCCCCTATTCCAGAGAGCACATCAGACCGAGTGGGCTTTGGGGCTTTACTGGAACTTGAGCCCACAGGAGTGGGGCTGCTGGGGTGCCCATGACCCTAACCCTGCCCTCTTCTCAGCGGTATTTGGAGACCAACGCTGAGTTCACGTGGCTCAGAAACTTGTCCAGGGAAACGTGCATGGTGGGGCTGAAGTCTCCAGGGTAGTGGCGAGCTAGGGTCACCAGCAGGGAGTGGCTAAGGAGCTGTGGAAAACAACGTGGTGGGTCAGCCAGGTCCCTTCTCCTCAAAGCGCCCTGTCCACGTCATACAACCCCTACTGCATCTGGTCACCCCTGGCCTTGAAGGTGGACTGTTCTCCCTAGCTCAGGTCCTCACCTGGAAGTTAACAGGATCAACTCTCAACTTGTATGCATGTAGCTCGCTCAGCACGGACAGCGCACCAGGCAGGTCATCCAAGTGATTGACAGCTTGGGTCAGTGCGACAGCCACCTTCTTGCCGTGGTCCTTTATCTGGGTGGAACCCGGTTTCAGGTTGAAGTTGGCGAAGTAGGTCTTGGTGGAGGGAAAGGAGGCGAAGGTCCTGCAGGTAGAGAGGTGGATGAGGGGCAACTGGCAGTAGGTTTCAGGGACAGGAGACAAAATCCCAGGGCCCCCAGGCCTGCGCCCACCTCTCCAGGGCCTCTGTTGTGTAGACGCCCACGTTGTCGCCCATCTTATTCCACAGGGCGCGCACCAATGCCCTCTCTGCCTCAGATAGCACCATTGCGAGCTTAGGTCTGCGATGTCTGCCTGCAGGACCCAAGCCAAGTACCACCTCCATGGGGAGGGCCTCAGGCGGTCAAATCACACCCCTAGGGGGAGCTGAGCGCTCAGCCGCGACCTGAGATACCCTGATCTCTTTGAGGAGATATTTACTAATAGGGTATTTCAAAGAATTTATGCAAAATTTCTCCCTATCTGTTAATTCTGTTTTCCCTGAACTTTGTGAAACACCCTCGTGTATATGACTAGATCACAAGGCGCCTTGGCATGGGACTTGAATGTACTCTGCTGCCTGAGTTTATACCTCGTGTTTGTTAGCCTCACTTGTATGCACTGAGGATAACAAGTTCTTCTCAGGGTGGTTGTGAGAATTGAGTAGAAAACATGTCAGTAACATGTTTGTTTTAGTGTGGTGGACATTGGAGAACCTACTCTCTTAAAGTGTCTCAAATCGGTTCAGACTCATAGCGCCCCTATGTAGGGTCTCTGAGGAGCAGCTGGTGAACTTGAACTTGCGACTTTACAGTCAAACCTTGCAGTCCAGTGATTATTCTAATCACCATCATTGTATTAAAATAGGACACTTTCTGGGCCAGGTACTAAAAACCATTCTTAAATTGTGGTCACGTGCACATAACATAAAATTGACCACTTAGTGCTATGGGCTAATGTGTCAGACTGCAAAGTCAGTGGTTCAAGCTCATCAGCTGCTCCCTGGAAACTATACAGGGTCGCTATGGGTTGGAATCGACTCATCACCACGACCTAACTTCCAGAACTCGCTCCCTCACCCCCATTTAAAGAGTCTCCAAGTTCTCCTTCCCCCAAGACACTAGCAACCACTCATCTTTCTGTCCTGATCGGTTTGCCTGCCTGGACTTGATATCAGTGGGCACATGAAGTGTGTGCTTACTCAGCATAATGTGTTCAAGGTTTATCTGTAGCACATAACAGTGCTGTTTTCCTTGCGTGGCTGAATATCTCATTAAACATGTTTACCCATTCATCAGGTGATGGGCCTTGGGCTGCCTACACCCTTGGTGAGACCCCCGTGTTTCCTGATAATAAATGTGTGGCACTGTAGGATAAGGCAAGGTCGGCAATTGAAACTCACCAGCCACTCCTTGGAAACCATACACAGGGTCGCTATGAGTCAGAACCGATTCGACAGCACTTAATAACACCTCTTCCTAAGAAGCCCTGGTTGCGTAATGGGTTACAAGTTGGACTGCTAACAGAAGGTCAGCAGTTCAAATCTACCAGCCACTATAAGTCCTATAAAGAGTTACAGCCTCAGAAATCTTACACAGGGTCGCTGTGAGTTACTACTTCCTAAGGGTTCATAAAAGGCCACCTCAGTACACAGAACATCTGACAGAAACACAGGAGGGGTGGACCCTGGAGGAGGAGGTGTGTGGGTGTGCCTGGAAGAGATGGCACACCCTGAAACCCCTCAGACCTCCACGTATTTAGGGACTTACACAGGGAGAGGACTGAGGGATGCAGTGCCCAGTGGGGGCCTTTGTGGGTCCAAAGACTGGATATCCAGACCACGATGAGCCAGGACAATAACGTCAGTCAAGGTGGGGGTCACAGTAAAGGGGCATCTCCAGGGATTTGCCTGGCCGAAACACATTGCCTTTAGTTCACGTTTATTTCATGAATGCTTTAGGAAGGCATTCAACCCAACTCTGAAAGGTGTGTCCGACACATCCTCCCCATGTTGAGCTTCAAAGTCCCAGACTGGAGACTAGGAGGCCCCAGCACGAATATGTGTGTGTGCACAGAGGTGTAAGAGTAGGACAACCCTCGTGAGTTGGCCAGGCCTGGAAGGAAAGGCAGGAAAAAGTCCAAAGAAGGGGGCACTGGCCATGCAGGGAGACCCACACCCACACGTTCGCAGACAGAGCTGAGGCCACACCAGGCTGCCGCCCACTCAGACTTTTATTCAAAGACACGGAGGCACGACGTGCAGGGAGGGGAGGAAGGGCCGGTGGCGCCTCGACTGGATCCCAGATTAACGATATTTGGAGGTCAGCACGGTGCTCACGGTGCTGAGGAACTTGTCCATGGAGGCGTGGACCGGAGGACTGAAGTCACCGGGGAGGTGACTGGCCAGAGTCACCAGAAGGCAGTGGCTCAGGAGCTGCGGAGCAAAGGGGCGAAGAGGGGAGGGGGGTTAGGTGAGGGTCCTGCCAGGAAGTACTGCTACCCCTGACGTCCCAGGTTTACCCTCTTCTCACCTTGAAGTTGACGGGGTCCACCCTCAGCTTGTATGCGTGCAGGTCACTCAGCTTGGACAGGGCGCCGGGCAGGTCATCCAGGTGACCAACAGCAACGGTCAGCGCATCTGCCACCTTCTTGCCGTGGCCCATGATATCACCGGAACCTGGGGTCAGGTCCATGTGAGAGAAGTAGGTCTTGGTGGTGGGGAAAGAGAGGAAGGTCCTATGGGGAAAAGAGGCAGGTGAGCGGACGGTGAAGCGGTGGGGCAGGGACGGGGGACAGGCAGGCGGGTGGGTCCGCGGTCTGGGCCCCAGGGCCTTGGAGCCTGGGTGCCCCCAGGGAAGTAGCCCAACGCAGGCCGGTGGGGTGGTGTTGAGCGTGGGGGCAGGGAAGAGAGGCTCCTCACCTGTTCAGGGCCTCGCCCCCAAATTTCGCCACATCGCCGCCGGCCTTTTCCCAGACGGCCTTCACATTGGCCTTATCAGCGGCAGACAGCACCATGGTGGCT